ACATTCAACATCATCACTTGATAAGACACCAGAAGTGTTGGAACAAAATAAATATTTCTGTAGTGATTTTATAACATTTATGTTATAATTTTCGAATAAATAATTTTATTTGCTCTACTCTGTATTGAGCATTCTTTTAAGAATAGAATTTTGGGTTAATTTATTCCGTATACACCAATCCTATACTTGTTATATATATATATATATATATATATATATATATATATATATATATATATATATATATATATATATATATATATATATATATATATATATATATATATTTAAAGAAAAACAGACCACTTTAAGTCTCCGTTGTAATAATTTATTTCACAGAGACCTTTTAAAGGACGCTGGATCCTCAGACATCACTTACAAAAGTTTGAAACAAAAAAAAACACACTTTTGGAAGTGATGTCTGAGGATCCAGCGTCCTTCAAAAGGTCTCTGGTGAAATAAATTATTACAAAGTGGTCTGTTTTTCTTTAAATTATTAGCTCTGAATTTACATTGAGCTCTCAGGATTTCATCCTCCTTGGGACTACCCATACAGATTACCAAATTTGTCGTATATATATATATATATATATATATATATATATATATATATATATATTATATATTAGTAAATGGATTTTATCCAACTAAAGTATCTTGAATATTACTGAAATCTTATCAGAAAAAATATGTGTCCTCCGGCAGGATTCGAATCTGCACCCCTTATGAGTAACCATCATCGGATATGGCGCGCCTAACCGCCCAGACAGGTAGGACTTACGGTCAGACGAGACCCCAATAGGGCCTTTTGAGCAATAGTGCCTTCTCGAAACATCCATATCTGCTGTGTTTCGTATCCTAACGTATATAAAGACGATTTATTTTAGAAAATGGATTAAATCCGACATATTTTTAATTTTAATTTATTTTGTCTAAACCTCATTTTTGATGGATATTCATATTCGAGTAGAAGCTCTTTTCTTTAAACAGTATTTTTTATCCTACTACATCTACCGGCCTGAATATTCGAGAAATCTTGTCAGAAAGAGTCCTCCATAGAACGCATATTTTTCAAAAATTTTGTCAGAATTCATGTCAGAAAAATACAGGGGATGGAGGTAAAAAAAAAAAAACTCTTCAAGAATACATCCGATCATTTTTATCACATGCACTCATTTATATAACCGATATTAATTAGTGTTATATACGGGACCTATGAACGCTAATGAGTATGTCCCAATCCTCATAAATACGTTGCACATTATTGTAAGTGGGGGGGTAATATGCTCTCTCAGTAGTCCACCAGTAGCAGTGGTTTACCTACTTCACACTGCTAGCGAGTATTGTATTTTGTTGATGTTATAAAAATTACCATTTCATTTTCAACCCCTGTTTTGGTTATTCCTCATTCAGTAACCCTTTCTAGTTTACAACAATTAGTCTATACGAACAGACAAGAAGAAGATATGTTGAATAGAAAGGTATAGGAAATATTAGGCAATTAAAATCGGGTGGAGATAGAAAGAGAAGGGAGAGAGATAAATTAGGAAGAATAGAAAAGACGAAAGAAATAAAAACTGGAAATAAGAAAGAAAGAAAGAACGAAAAAACATAAAGATGACGGAAAGAAAGAAAGAGATAAAAAAGAAACAGCGATAGCTGAAAAAAGAAAGAAAGAGATAAAAGAAAGAAACAGAGATTGCTGAAAAAAGGAATAAGGAAAACAGAGATAAAAGAAAGAAATAAAGAAAGAAAACCGGAAGCGGAAATAAGAAAAGTCTCGTCTGTTGTTCCTGTAACTGAAGAGTCGTTGCGTTGCCATACATTATTGGTTATCCTGTTGGTCACATTTTATTTTTCATGGTATTTCAGTAGACAAGAGTAATTAATTGGCGGTGCCTGTCTCCTCACAAGTAACTTGTAGAATATTTGATTTGTCGATAAAAATAATTATCTTTATATCTGGCGACAAATAAGAGCGAGGGGAGAAGTGGATTCATGCCTTTCATAAGAGACGTAGTATGGAATGAACACATACTGTACCATCCAGAATTTGAATTCTTCTGATAATCGTTAGGTCATCTCGCATCTTTGCAATAAATAAATAAATAAAGCAGAAAGACAGAAAAAGATACAGAAAAGAAAGCAAACGCAGGGGAGAAGAAAAAATGAATATAAATGAAATAATGAAGAGAAAAAATAATAATTTAGGGGAGAAAAAAAAACATGGATTCAATAAGATAGAGAAAATAACAAGTGTTTGAATTACTATCAAACAGGAATTAAACATATCTGCCTATTGTCATGACTGGAAAGTGAAAAGCCACGATCGCCTACGATCTGAAGTGACGGATAATTGAAAATGAGGATAAATGAATAAATTATAAGACATGACTATGTATGTTATTTAAGATGTTTAGTTTAGTCTGGCAGAAGGCCGCACGTGTGAGGTTCGTAAACGCTACAGTTATAATAGTTTGTGGGACTAGAGCTTAATAATCATTGTCACACAACGAGGCGCCCTAAAACATACTCATGATTCAGCATTTCTAAGTAAAATGATCAAGACATTAGAAATTTTAAAAATGTCTATAGCGTTATAAGCACATTAAGAATGTTGGTATATAAGGCATGTATGCCACCTTTTAAAAGATTTCTCATTGGAAAGAAAAAAGAAAGAAGTAGAAAGAAGTAAAACTGAGAGAGAGAGAGAGAGAGAGAGAGACATGTAAATGCAAAAAAAAAAAAAAAGAGAGAGAGAGAAAAAGAAAGATGGACGTAGATAAAAATAAGTTAAGTGACATTTTAAACGAGTATCATTGCTTGCAAACAAATCTCCATTGCCAAAGAGGCTGCTTCCAGGTTTTCTTCAAATTACAAAAAGATCGTATATCAATGGAGTATCTTGCTCAGTACAAACCAACACAATTGTGCAAATATTGCAAGAAGCAGGATCCCTTTAGCAACACCCTCAACGGGTTTAAATGTCACCACATTGGGAAATTATGCCATGCTACGTTTGCATGGAATCACGTGTCCGTGCGCATACTTTTACGCACAAACACACTTCCGCTGTGGTGCACATGCGTGTGTGTTAAGAACTGAATACAAAACCGTTCTATTTCTTATTAGTTACAGTTTCAGAAACTGGAATATTAAGTTTCAGACTGAACACTTGATTTATTGTAATTTCCCAAATATACATTTTTTTTCTCAGACAAACGCGAATTTATGGGTGATCACGAGGCTGAATTGTTTTTTCCTCAATAACACTGCAGTACATATTATCTAAATGTATAAAAAAAAAGAAAAACGTTTCTGGTTCGAAAACCGAGAACATGAAACTTGGCTTTAATAATTCCTCACCGGTGGTAGAGGTCAGTGTTTGTGCTTAGATAAAGTAAGTCAAAATTTGGAATGCTCATTTTCAAAGCAGGCAAACTTTACCCTCTAGGAAGAATGACATAATCTTTCTCCCCACATTTCTTTAACTCCTTACGTCACTTAAATTCCAGATAATATCGAGAATGTGGTTTAATTTTATTTGAAATTTTCCTCTTCTTTATTTGCCATGAAATATTTATTGAAATGAAAATATTAATTCATTTATTTCCCAAATTTAAAACCGCATAAATGAATAAAGATATTTAAAAAGGAAAATTGAAAAAATATATTTGGTGTTGATATTTTACCCGAAAAGATAATTAATTACCGCTATAGAAAAAAAAAGGATAATTCAGTGACGTGACACAACGTGAGAAAAAAGAACGAAATCAAACCTTTGAGATTCAAATCTTTTATGAGTATAACAGAAGAAGAAAGGAGAAAGGAAAAAAGGTTTACAATAATGGTGTTGCAAAAAATGGTATTTTGCAGATTTAACTTGTCACAGAAAAGAAACGTCCTGTTAACAGTTCTTTGAGATCTTGTGATTTCTTGTTGTTGTGGTGGTGGCGCGGCAATGTCTCGGAATCCGGTTTATTGAGCGCTGCAATCTCAGGTTCTACAGATCTGTTGGTGAAGTTTTTTTTTTTTTTTTTTTGTACGTGCTACTCGTTGAAAGCCAACGTGGGAAAGAGGAAGAAAGATTCAAACATGGCGCGCAGAACGGGACGAAGTAGCTTCAGTAAGGGGCCTTCTGACTGGTTCCTTTTCAGCTAGTCATATGGATCGTTGTAACAATGCCAAGGGGCACGCTGAAAGGGAGATTACTCCGAAAGACACGTAATAATTTCAGTATTGGTTTAATACTCAAAATTACATTAATCAATATCGTATAGAACATGCCCAAATCGATAAAAGTGTTAGTAATTTGTGGAAATAGTGTGACAGCATGAAATTATCGACTTAGATGAAAATGACAGTTACAAGTACAGAAATTCCGAGGAAAGACGCCAGACGTTATAAAAATCAAGGAGTGAGAACAATGCATCTCAGTAGCCGAACTAGAGTTTTTTCTTTCAAAATTATCTGAAGTCTACCAAACTTGATATTTAAGGAAGTTCAAGGATCTTCTTTTATGTGTCATATCCCTTCAGGATGTGGGCGATCATGGCTTTCCATAAATCCCTATCCTTTGTTCCTCTTTGTAATGCTTGACTCCTTACTATCCCTTCCAGTCCCTGTTCTGCCATCCATTTACACAGGCATGTTAGGTAGGTTATCATGTCTCTCCACAACTTCCTATCCTTTATAGCTCTAAGCAATGTTTGTACTCTTACTATCTTTTCTAGTCGCTGTTGTGCCATCTATTTACACAAGCTCTTTAGGGAGGTTACTCAATGCATCCCCTGTGACCCCTTTGCCTTCAATATGTCCTGGGCACGTCAAAGACCTATGTCTCCCATAAATTTCAACTATCTCTTTCTGATTCCAAATATAAAAGTGTCCTTTTTGTCCCCATTTTTCTTAAAACCTATTCATTGCTCCCATGTTTTGTCCATGGTATTCTCAGTATCCATCTATAGAACCACTTCTTAGTTGCCTCAAGTCTCTCCATCTGTGGTCACATCACGTTAAAACACCGGTTTCCGTACGATCACTGAAGTTAAGCAACGCCAACCTGTTCAGTAACTAGATGGGTGACCGTTTAGGAGATCCAGTTGCTGTAAGCTTGGATATATGAGTGATGTAATGGATAATGTCTTAGAATTGTTAATTGAAGAGCCGAGTTTCAATTTCCATTGGTCTCGTTATATTCACTTACGCACAAGTACCCATTTGGAAAGGTATGAAGACATCACTTCTCCCCAGATATGGGTTAATTAGTAAGGCCTGTATCACTAAACCATTATTATCTAAAAAAAATTTTACAATCTAAAAATATTTTTTCGTTTTTAAATAACCTGCAAAGGTTTGATAAACCGTAGACATCGAATCAATTGATCAATCAATCTTCATCTGTGAAGAAATTGTACAGCATTCACAGTCATATAAGAGGATTGATGTTGCATATCAGTTCAGCACTCTAAACCAAAGCAATGTCTAAACTCCAATACGGTAGACTGTTCGGAGATACAGTAATTGATACTTTGTGCTAAAAAACTACGTCAATGCTGGTTCAAATCGTTAAATAGTACTATTGTTCTAGGTACATTTTAATTTTAAATAGGAGTCGATATTGTTGGTACATTACCGATAATTCCGACAACTATAAATGGGAACTATTGTTCTTAGTCCGGATAAAATAATTTTAAAGTGAGAGCTTTGTTGAGTTGCGTCCATAGCTTGGGGTAAGTCGACATATAACGACAAGAAATATATGGGGAAAAGACAATGAAACGAGTGGTTTGCAACATAACAAGTTTATTCATCAACTGATTATACAGCAGAAAAATAGGAAGTATTAAATTATACCTTTTTTAAGACAGTTCCTTTAAAAGGGAGATAACCGTATTCATAGTTTACTCTAATAAGATTATCTGTCAATTTTCTGAAATCTTCAACTTTTGCTTAAATCTTAAGCATTGAAGTAGTTTTTATAAGAGGGAAATTGTTAAGAATGACGAAGCATTAACTCAAGATAAGTTTAAACCACGATAACAAAAACTCTATTCTGTTATGTCTCCTTTGTGTAAAGCGAATATTATGTTTCTATTGTTAATGATATAATCAAACAAAAGAATAAAATATTAGAAGTCAATTCCAGCAACTAATCAGTATTCAGAAAAAAAATATCTGTAAACATAAGTGAATTGAGTAACGATATATTGGCTCAGTACGAGAAAACACCAGATGAACTCGGGAAAATTGTGTTGCGTTAATTTTTTCAAGTGGAGAGGACCTTCAGCCTTGACATTTGGTATTCGAAATGATGGATTTTAATCCGGGTTAGAACCCCGAGTGCTGATAACCTGTGGAAAAACGCAACCTCGGCAACCACCAAGCAGACTGAAGTATATAAAAAAGTATGAACATTTCTTGTTATTGAATACGGATAATCTTCATTTGGATGATCCAGTATAATCGTTAATCGTTGATTCGACACACAAAATGATTACCCCGCAACCTCCAGTAATTTAGTTAATCTATGAAGACAATCTTAGGTTTCCTGCTCATGGTATCATATTATGTTTGTCTCGCATTCTCTCTGTCGAATGATGTCAGTTCGCGCTGTTTTCAACACATACATTCACACAAATGCGAGAGCACAGACACATATATGTGAAGTACACACACACACACACACACACACACACACACACACACACACACACACACACACACACACACATATATATATATATATATATATCAAACTATTACTGGTTAAGGGATTGACTACACGAAAAAAATTACTTTTAAAGTCGAGTTTCGTTCCGAGAGAGAATTTATTGGGGCTAATAACGGTTTTACCGAGGAAATCAATATGATATTTAAATAGAGCAAACACCGGTTACTCTTTACATCAAAACGTTAAAGATACAGAGACACTCAGCTTTAAATTTAAATTTTCATTTACGATGTATCTAGATTAGGTACCTCCACAGTAACGTGATACTTAAGATTTAAAATTGATTTTTAACAATGAAAAATCTTTCTTGAAGCTTTTATATTAGTTTTAATCTCAAGCTAATAGATTAAATTCAATTTTTTCAACAAGTAAAATACTCTGTTGTACTTCAAAACTAATTTAAACTGACTGGAAGTAATTTTTGTTTTTAAATTGCTAAAATTGCTGATTTTAGCACCATTTTTAGCCATCTATTAGATTAGCACAATGTAATAAAATATACTTTTCTAAAACTATTCGAGGAATATTAGCTGGTTTAAAGTTTAATTAATCTGCTTTGAAACAAATATTACTTACTTTTAGTTTAAAATATCGCAGAAATGCATTTTTAACACGGTGGTAGGTTTTTTTTTAAGGCTTTGATAGCTTGACTGACAGACGGAAGTTTATCTTTTTTTTTCTGTGCTGTAAAATTTACTTGAGGAATTTAAGTTGAGCGCTTTTTTTATATAATTTTCAACTACCCAGTAATTCTAAAAATGTAGGAAATAATTTTCCGTAATGTAATGTTTTATTGAGTACTTTGGCTTTACATTTACTCGAGTTATCGCTCTTATTTTCAGATAATGTCGCGTATGGACGTCCGTATGTACAAAAAACAGCACGTTTATACACACACAATACAATAATATCAAAATTCTTTTTCAAATATTGGGTTCGCTGAATTGTAGTAAGCTTTTTCATTTATGATTAGTAAATATAGTTTTTACTTAATACTACCTAATCGTAACAAATACAGAAATTTAGAAGATTTAAAACTTTATAAATTATTCGAATTAAAATGTAAAACAAAATGAAAACAATTCTTCTAGAAAGTCATTAGTCACCGAAATATTTTTCTTAAGATACCTTATTCATATAGGCAGTTGAAAACTTCGCTAATAAGATAATGTCTTAGTTTTATTTCATTTTTTATTTTACAGTCCAGAGCAGATTTTCGGTAACTGGGGGTGCTGTTTTACAAAAAAAGAAAAGAAAAAGAAATTAGCTTTAAATTCTCTAACGTGTATAACTAATCTAACCATTAAACCGTACAAAAATTAATTTCTCGAAATTTCATAAATTTAAATAAGTGAGGGGTAACAGATGTAAAAAAAATGTTTTTATCAAGATTGTCGAAAACACATCTCTAAACAATATAATTTCATTCATTTGTGAATAAGTCCTGAAAGTTTCATTAAAATCCGACAATTATTTGATTTTTACAAGAATTTCCAAATGATTGTGTTTTTTGTCACAAAAAAAAAAAAAAAAAAAAAAAACAAACAAACTAAAATTTCTTATAATAATCTTTGGTCTTCCTGCTGACGCAAGAAAAACAAAAGTTTTAGCCAAAATTTTGAACGTTTTCAAAAAGATCAACAATATAATTTATTAATAAAAAAATCCTTTGATCTTTCTTCTTAATAATAACATAAAGACTTTGACGATAATACATTGTTTTTATTAAGTTTGGGGCATTTTTTCATCATGGTATAATTACTTTTAGCGAATCTATGGAATCTAGATGTTTAATTTTGATTATGTCATTCAGTTTTTACCGCTCTTGTTTTGACTTTCATTGCCATTGTCTTTACTTTAATTATTCAACTTTATATCAGCGGTATTTTGCTGATCCTGGATGTAAATTTACTGTCGTAGATGCCAGAATTAGGGCAATATTTGATAAAGTGACAGTGTATTCAGTTGCATTTAGAGAATTCGGTTTCAGTATAGAGAGAGAGCGAGAGAAAAATCCAATTCTTGTGACCTGAAAAGGCTTCAATATGGTCCCGAAATGTTTACATCGTTTGGGACTCGATAACTTCGTTAGCAGTCGCGTCCCATGGGTCCTAACCAAAAGGCGTCAGGAATTCATTTCTTCGGAAATATTTCTATTCAACTGTAAGGGATACAGAAACAAAGTGAACCATAACACATGAACGTTTGGATGATGTTCTTTATTAATTCCAAATGTTTGCTATTTCTTAGAAAAAAAGAAAGAAAGAAAAGTTTAGCCCATCAATGCACATCGTAAAACCTGGTAGTAATTATAAAATTAAAGATAAAAATCCGGTCTTAATTATAAAAATTTAAAAAACGGATAATAATTATAGTTATAAAAAAATCTGCTCTTAATTATAAAAGTAATAATCTGATATTAATTATATATAAAAAAATATCCGGTATTATAAAAAGAAAAAGAAAAAACAATCAGTTATGAATTATAAAAATAAAATAAAATCCGGCATTAATAATAAAGATAAATAAAATCCGGTATTAATTATAAAAATTTTAAAAAATCCGATATTAATTATAAAATAAAAATAAAAAATACGGTATTAATTATATAAAAAAAAGTCAAACTCGATATTAATTATAAAAATAAAAATCCGATATTAATTATAGAAAAAAACAGGTATTAATTATAAAAAAAATCCGATATTAATTATTAAAAAAAAATAGAAAAATAAAAAACAGGTACTAATTATAAAAAAATCCGGTCTTAATTATAAAAAAAATCCGAAATAATTATAAAAAAACAAAATCTGATATTATAAAAACATTATTAATTATAAAAATAAAAAAGTATTATTTATAAAAATGAAACTAAAAAATTCAGTATTAATGAAAAAAATCTGAGATTAATTATAAAAAATTCGATATTAATGACAAAAAATTCATTTGTTAATTATAAAAGGAAAAACTCCAGTATTAATTATAAAAATAAAAAAATCCGATATTAATTATAGTAAAAAACAGGTATTAATTATAAAATAAAAATCTGGTATTAATTCTGAAAGACAAACTGGTATTAATTATAAAAAATCCGTTATTAATTATTAAAAAAATCCGAAATAATTATAAAAAAAACAAAATCCAATATTAATTATAAAAAACAGTATTAATTATAAAAATAAAAAAACGGTATTATTTATAAAAATAAAAATAAAAAAATCCAGTATTTATGAAAAAAAATCTGATATTACTTACAAAAAATTAATTTATTAATTCTTAAATTAAAAAAATCCGGTATTAATTATAAAAATAATGAAAAAAAATGAATTCGTTATTAATTATAAAATTAAAAAATTCGATATTAATTATAGAAAAAACAGTT